GATTCTACTTTGGTTTCCGGTGTGACCAATTCATGAATTCCTTCCAACCAACTTTTATATCGAAACCCGATTTTTCTTAATGCATATTTACATGTATCCTTTTTTAAAGAATTATTGTATAATTTTTTCTCTCATTATAGCTACTTTTTTGCACATCCTTGTAATCCCGCCCAAATTTTGTCAGCTCCGGGCGCATGTGCTCTATTTACTCGCCCTCGTTTCTCAGGTTCCCAGTTGGGCGGGTCGTCTGGCCGCTCACTGGGCCGAATTTTCCGCCAATTCTGGTATCCAACAGCCTGATGTTTTGTCACCCAACAGTCGATCGGGTGCTAATCGGATCTCCACTACTATATCCAGTCCAAATGAGGTCTGCAGCTGTACACTCTGGCAGGCGGCATTCCGTTTTCTTTTTCAGACTGGCCAATCTTGTCTGGTGCGTGCGCAGGCTGCCCACTTACTGATAAGTCTTTCAGGTCACTCGTTTTCAGATCGTGACAGTCTGTCCGCTCTTCTTCCTCGCTTTCAGACTGTAAGCCTTGCGTCGAACTCCTCTTCGGCAAGTAGATCTGCAAGCAGACCGTTGGTGTCTCTGCCTGGAGATCCACATCCTGAAATCGTAAATGAAGCGACTGTTGAATCTGACGGTCTAACAGATGCTGATGGGCCAATTGACTTGGTACTACAAAGTCTCAGAACCTTGTTCGGCAAAGTCCTACCCTTAGGCGATGCCCCGGACAGTACAACATCAGCCTTTCTAACAAGTGACGATGATAACAGTTTGAGCGAAGACAATGGCGAAGTAGATGATGATGATGATGATGATGACAATGACGATAGATCTGAAGGTGTTGGGAATTATGTTTGGTCGGACTCATCGTTTGTCCTTGGTCTTCGACATCTTATTGCCAGAACAATGAGAGCTCGAGGCTGGCGCAACTTGACGGACGATAGATTTCAAGAGCTGATTCACATTGTGATAACCCACTTGATTCTTGGCCGTGTCTGGCCAGAAACCATGAGTGAGGATGAGGATGCGGAAGCAAGAGATGATGTCCTTTTGGCTGATAATAACGATGCTCGAGAAAGGAGTGAAAATAGAGTTCGAGACGATCGAGTAAGAGATCTTGAGGCCAGAACTGATGTTCTTCAACGGCATGGGCGAGAACCTGTCAATTCGCCAATCACTCCTGATTTGGCATTCACGGTCCCTCGTGAAGAAAGGCCGGAAGGTGCTAGTCCCGCAGCCGCACAATTGAGCCAGCCTTCCAGAGGCCAAACGTCTCGGCGGATGCGGCGCCGGCGTGGACAACGCCGAATTCGAAGAGCAGGACGACGACAATACTCATCAACGCAACCGCTGCTTGGCGTATCGCGTATGCCGCATTCGACATTGCTTCCAATATTCAAGGATCCTTCCTCTGGAGTGAGTTTTCACTGTATTTTCGGGGATTCTTTGGTCGTATATTGCAACGTATCACATTCATACGAGTATTTATGAACTGTTATTTCTGAGATATGAGATTTATAAATGAGCCTATAGGTTGTATTTGTTGTATATGTTGTTTTGCGTACATAGCCAGCTGAAAGATTTTCCTGAGCCGTACCTTTGAGTATCCTTTGAATGTTATGCGTTAGTGTGCATTTATGAACTAGTTATCACTCTAGGTTTATCTGACATAAAAAAGCACCCCACTTCGTTCTCGGCAAATTGCTGCTAAGCTTTTATTTGCCATTTGTTGAGATAAATAACAACCAGTTACGATATTATCAGATATTGGCTCCGACTGAATATGATCATTCAATGCGATTAAGCCCAATCAATTTCCAAATGATACATTAGATCAGTGATTGCCAAACTGTGCGCCGCGGCGCCACGGGGAGCTGCGGCCTCTTTATGGAGGCGCCGCGAAATATTGTAAAAGCTTCAATGTGAGAAAATGTGTAGTGATTTGCAGGCTCATCCATCACATTAATTATTTAATATTAATATAATGTTAATAAGATATTTTAAAAATAATGAAGATACACAAGTTTTATTTATTTTTATATCTTATCTACGATTAGTCATACTTAGGGTAGGGCGCCATGGAAAAATTTTAATTGAAAAAGGACGCCGCGACTAGAAAAGCTTTGGGAACCACTGCATTAGATACTTCTATATATTAATCCTGATTATTTATTTCGTTTACTTAATCTGCTTGTTTGCTTGTTTGTAAAGCTATTGAAGTTGCATAGTTCCGGCCAGGATTTGTATGCATAGCTTCAAACTCGTAGCCATTAATCCTTTATAATATTTCTGCACTTCTGCAAATCCAGCCTCCACAATGGAGATGAGTAGGATTATTTATCAAACTTTTTAATGATGCAATAGGAATCTCTTTCCCGACGGCCTAAATGAAGGGATGTCGTGAAGGCTATTTTGAATAAAAGGAACTTATTAAATGCCGATTTTTCAGTCCATCGGAGGCTCTGGAGTTCATTCATAAGGCAGTGTGAGCAATGCGAATAAAATTAGTTATCACATGTTTTTTTTACGCCTTGATAACTAGCCTTCGAAACTGGGACAGAGTACATACCTTATTAGATTTTGATCTTTCAGTTGCATCAAGGTAGCACAATATGGAATACCGTTGAATAAATGAGAATTTTCATTGCTTTGTGAACTGTTATTGCTGAGGATTGTATCTAGTCTTCAATTGTCGTTTGCTACCACTTGTTCTTCGGCGCACTGCAACCTAATTGACCTGGCTATATCTCACTTAGTCAATCTTGGATAAAGTAACAAAAATCTGTTTGAATATTTTAAGGCAGCGTTGAATGTAATAGCTGAGGCTTGACTAGACTCTGTTTAAAATTATAATTACCATAACAAGCTACCATGATAGATGTATTAATGTAAAAAGTTTGTGCCAACCTCCTGGGCTGGATATTAATATTTCATTAATTCTATACCAATGAATAGTTGCCTTTTAAGCCTGCTTTTCTGATGCAAATTTTGACCACTATTTTAAAGTATAAATTTAGATGGAAATTTTTTACTAGTCTTGATTGTTACGCTTAAGCATTTAACAGACTGACTGTCACAAATAAGTTCCTGAGATATGATGCCTTCAGATTGTGATAAGAGATTTATAACTTCCTGCTGTGGTTCTAGCTGAGCCGTATTTTCCACTCAATTTCATTCTATCCACCACCAGTTCTTGTTATATCGGATATTTAATCATCCACCTCTAACTGCTCCCAATTGCTTAAGAGCAAAATTATGTTTACTTTTATATACATTTCACGCTCTGCTGCGTAGTACTAGCGAAATAAATCGAGCTGTTGATGTTGCTTCTCAATTGGCTTGCGCAGGAAACTACTCGGATAGGGGTGCGTTGTTACATTTTGAAGTAAATTATTCTGCTGATTTTGGAAAATAGCTCAAACTAATTGAACATAGCTGATGAGCTTGACATGTCTGTTGAGAGACTTTTAATTTGGTTAGAACCATCACTAAGCTGACAAATTGAGTCGTCTTCTTTTGTACAGCGGCTCTATATCCTTTCTGTCTAAATCTTTTAATCCGAAATGAAGGTCCCCATAACAAGTTTAAGTAATTCTTACTCAACTTTCTACCATCATTCGTATCTATTAATTTC